TGAAAGTGAAAGATTCGCGAGGATACATCAAAGGTGCACAGATCACGCACACACGTGACCATGAATCGCCACCAATGGCTCACCTCGCAAGAGTCCAACTTTATCAACTCAACCAAGCTCCAAATGAAATACATCGACGAACACCACAGGACCGCCGTATTTTGGGAATGTAACGGGAAATGAATGTCGGAAATAGAATGTCCAAATTTAATGGTACATATTATCAGTGGCGTACCCATTCGACATTCACAGATACATGTATCAAACAGTGGCTATATTTCTTGGCGTGAAGGGTTGTAAAGAGGCATGTATACACTCTTGAACTGTTTACACTACAAGAAGGATAATATTTTCTACACAGAAAAGAAAGGTCTTGACATAGAAAGATATTGAGATTGCAGGAGGAGAGAAAAAAATACAATAAAATATACACCTTGTTGCCTGCTATCAGAGCTTTAATCCGATTATTTTTTGGTATTTTTAGAGCCTCTTTTGATGAATGTACTAACAATAAACCTTCATTTTCATCAAATTACAACCTGTAACAAAGGCTGAAATTTGGCTCATGAGGATCAAATGGACATTCTTATTTCTGAGAAAACTCATAACTTTTTTAATTCCGGTCCAAAGGACTTGATCATTCACTCATTAGAAAGCTGAATGCATTCTGGACATACTTTGTTACGGACTAAGAGATCTGGCTGTTGAGTGAAAGAAGTTATAGAAGTTTGAAACAATTTACACATATGTCTTCATAACACCTTTACCAGACTAGCTACACATTTCTACTCTCAACAAAAGCTCCGGAGCAGATGTTCAGCTTTCTAATGATCTCAAAATCGAGGTTTTTCATGCCCAAATGCAAAAGTTATGTGGTTTCTTAGAAATCTAAATGTCCATTTGGTCTTCATGAGCCAAATCTCAGCATTTGTTACAGGTTGTAATTTGAGGAAATTGAAAGTTTGTTGTTAGTACATTCATCAAAAGAGACTCTAAAAAAACCAAAAAATAATTGGATCAAAGCTCTGAGAGCAGGCTACAAGGTGCATATTTTTTTGTATTTTTTGCTCTCCTCCTGAGATCTCAATATTTTTCTATGTCTAGACTTTTCTTTTCCGTGCAGAAAATATTATCTTTCTTGTAGTGTGTGTATCCGACAGTTTGGCAGATGGAGGCGTGTGACACGCAGGGATATTCAAATACATGTGAAATGCCCCTGTACATCGTGTGAAATGACCAGCGGCTGGCCAATTTCGCTGGCCGGCCAGAAGGGTCGCACAAGGCTTCGGTTTCTCTGTCACATACCTTTTGCAGACCTTTAAACCCCGTGAAATCATCTAAAACTTTCACACCCTCTTTTCTTACGCGTCACACCCCCGTCACATGTTTTCTGACATCCCCATATGTACCTCACCAGATCATTTATAAAGATACAACATCAAGCTCATTTGCTTGGTTGTGACCAACCAGAGAGGGATATTTCTCTTTTCTCGTGGCTTATTAAAAGATTGATGGGTTTGTCTGCACTTTTACTTGAGACACTCGAGCTCACAGAGTGATGATACTATATACATAGATAAGCAAACCCAGAACAATTGAATTGGGAGCACTCTTGGGAGCGCGATAAGATAATCATTGATCACTTTTATTGTCTTGATTATTTGAAGATTTTGTTGGAAATAGTTGAGCAAAGTGCTTATAGGTCAAGAGGTGTCCAAAAGTGTTGATCTAACTGGCAAAGTCAGTTGAGTGAGGTTAACTTGACACATAAAGAAAGATCAATGAGTTGAATCGATTGTTTCTCAGCTTACCTTTAAAGTTCATTTTATATTGTCAACATTAATCTGCTGGATCCATTTCTTGGGAAGTACCTTGAGCTGAAACCACCGTCATCTCAGTGGCGAGTGTGGTGAACCGTATGACATTGGCGGGGGTATGGTGAATTGGGGGAGTTGATTTCACCACCCTGTCCTGAGTCTGTCTCGTAGATGGCAAAAGGTGGCGACAGGTGAATGAGGCAGTTGTGTAGGTTGTATAAAGCCATTTATCTTATGGGTTTATACTGTGCTGACAGTCAGCATGTGTCAGCAGGTGCTGACAGTCAGGGCCCTCCCAAGGGCCGCAATCTCTGATCAGACTGATGAGCTGGGCCCCAATCACCCCAATATCCCCAATCACGATTCACCAGTTCCACATGGCCGGTGTGTCATGTGCGGCTCGAAGATACCGTACCCAAACTCATGACGGGTCGGATGACCCGGTCCGGGTACTGGTGTAAATGTTGATGTCTGAAATGATGAGCCCTAACCTCAGGTAGTTTCTGACCCCGACCCTCCACGCCTCCAGCTGTGTTTGGTTTGTTGACGATGACGGTGTAAGGTAAAGTTTAAAGCTTCGATCTCAAACCCCAAACATTCTATACAATCCACAAATCATATCAAGTCTCTTTATCACTCCTCTTGACTATCAAACTGCTATCAGGTACTACAACTTTTGATTTAACTGTTCTCCCCTATCACAATCTCATGAACCTCACCCCTGAGTTCACCGAGTCATCGATTGATTTTTTAATCTGATTCTCTTTCCCTACCAGTTCTTTAGAATTAAGTCATTTTGCTTTCAAGTCAACTCTGAAGATACCGACCCGCGCACATCATGTTCATGTCAGTCTTCAAAATTTCAATCATCATTGATCGATAATTCTTCACTGAACGGGCTGATCCTGATATTTATTATACAAAACATCTTTCAAACTTTGTGCAGATTGAATTGGTACGCTTACAAGACATTGGGCTTGATGACATTGGTTTTAACTTCATTTGCTAACTTGGGGGGAACCCATTGACTCGTCTCTTTTTACAACGTTTTCAAAGGTTTTGGGATGTATTAGCCCAATTCGGTGTGTAATTTTGTCCCTCTGACGTCACCTTGCTCAAACTATGACTGATCGACCGGTATCCTGGTGCTGACATTATTAGGCTTGGTAAACAAGAACGCCAAAATTCTTTTGTAGGTGCCCATTGACTTCTTATCTAAGTGCGATCGAGCTTCGAATCTCATAGGTATCTTACTTTTACAGCCTCGGTCTAGACAATGCCGGAAAGACGGTACCAACCTTCTTCATTGCAAACCCTCATTGATAGCTACTGCATCCACACTTTTCCACTGACTGTCTTTATCATCCGCCAATTTCGTTCAAAAGACCCTACTTCACATGCTGAAAAACGATAGACTGGCGACCCTTCAGCCCACTCTGCATCCGAGTTGGTCTCCCTCTCTGGCTCTCGTTTTGTGTATCGTTAATTGCAGACCGAAGAAGCATGGAAGGAAGGAATGCTGACCAACAAACATTCAATCATCCAGCTTCTGAGGAACTCGCAATCGGAAACGTCAAATTTACAACTTATGATTTAGGAGGCCATTCTCAGGCTCGACGACTCTGGAAGGAATATTTCCCAGAAGTTGACGGAATTGTCTTTTTGGTAGATTCACAGGACGTTGAGAGGTTTCCTGAGTCAAAAGGCGAATTGGACGCTTTGCTTAGCATTGAAGTCAGTTACAGTCTTGAACCGATATGTTTACTTTGCCTTGTTTCTATGGCGTATGTTTTCAACGTACTCATGCGGCTCCGTGTTGGTTCATTGTGCCTCTTACAGGAACTGTCAAAGGTTCCATTCTTGATTCTCGGTAACAAGATTGACGCCCCAGGGGCCGTCAGTGAAGAAGAGCTTCGTCACGGACTAGGATTGTACCAAACTACAGGAAAGGTACATCACACATTACTGCTTGATTCATTCTTGTATGCGCTATCTAAATTTGGACAAATTACTCATCATCGATATCAAATTTATTGTTCTAGGGGAAAGTACCGCTATCAGACATCCGCCCCATCGAGATCTTCATGTGCTCTATCGTCATGCGACAAGGATACGGTGATGGTAAGCTCAGCTTTGCTTATAAGCGATTATCAGATTTGAGTACTGACAAAATCTCTTTTGAAGGTTTCCGATGGCTGGCACAGTACATTTGAATAACAATAGGTTGGCGCTACGATATTTTCATGTCTTTTTCCTTTTTTATTTGTAATTTGGCAAAACTTCGTGAACATCAGAGGTGTTTTGAGCAAATGAGTGATTGAGCGAGAGTGTAGGACATGGTGAAGGAACTGCACACCTTACTATCCTCATACGAGTTCAAACTTAGAGGAGTTTTTTGATGAACATACAATTTTCAACACTTTCATATCTTTCGTGCTGCATAATGCTCGCTAGTATTTACTCTACTCTTGCTCTGCTGTAGAGATCCTTGATACGGTTTTCAAAAGTATGACAGTACTGGATAAGTCATGCCTAAAAGACAAGCTGGCTGATATTTGGATAAATTCATGCCACAAGCCTGCTGCACATTCTGTTCTTGGACCCAGTGTGTGGTTCAGTCATTGTATGTACTTCTGAAAGGATGACACACAATGTATGGTTGTGTAGACTCTGGTCTAATTTGGATTTTTTGGACCTCAGCTTGATCTGGATGAACTCCGCAATTCTGTAAGGAAGCAAGAGTCTTAACAGAAGGTTGTTTGAAAACTGGCAGCGCTCCACACCAGATAGTGTTGGAGTGGGTTGAAACATGAAACTGAAAAGATGGGTTATGTGGAGCACCTTGATGATGGAATGAGGAAACTGGTGGAGATAAAAGTCCAAATAAGTAGTGATGAGTTCAAAAAAATGACTAACAGATGCAATTGGGGTAAATTTGTGAGCACCAACAAGATGGAGCAGTCTTGGAAGCTGTTAATCACATTGAAGCTCACCTTGGAGATAAGTGTGATGAAGGAGCAAGGATTTTAGAATTAGTTGGCAAGTTTTTCACACAAAACTGTCTTTCATTTCTCTGGACAATGTGTGTCAAGGCTTTAGATTTGACTAGATGGACATGAATGTAAAAATATGGTTATATATGTGTCAAGATAGAGTATTGGCCTTGAAGGTGGAACCTTTTAAACACATCAGAAGTCCAGTTCAACAAACCATCCTAGTGATGTGGGTATCTACGTGATGTGGTAGGTTTTGGAATGGTTGACCCTTGGTGATAAATTGTGCTGAAAACAAAAACCAGAAGAGTCTTTGATCTAGGACCAAATTAAGATCAAGGGAGTAGTTAAAGAGTGCCGCTATACAGGTGGTTTCAAGGGAAAAAGATAGCCTGACGTTCTATTTCAAAGTCATTCATTTTGCAATTGGAAGCAGGAAGTTCTTCCCTCATGTCTTATTACTACAACATTTCATTTTGTAGACAAGATTGCTCAGATCATGTGCTTTGTATTTTAGCACAAGGAAGCTTGTCTAAATCAATTTGCTCTCTGCAAGGCACATCAAGGTTGAGAGTGAGCTGAGAAACATGGTGAAACAGCTGGTTTATGTTAGCTCCACCTAAAAAGTTGTGGTAGACCATAGATGGAGAACATTGCAATGGATGGTACCATCTAAAGACCAAGGAATGAACCAAGGATTCATGTTTCTGACAAATTTATAGACACTTGAAAGATCATCAAGGAGCTTATGGACTTGGGAATATACAGAAGTGATGGAAACTTAACAGTTCAAGTTAAAAGTCCTCAAGGTGACATGGGTCCGATTCTAATATATTCCTTCTGCCACATGATACATAATTACAAACGCTGGACACTTTGAGGGAAATCTATTGGTAAGCTTCTGAAACCATATTTACACGAGTTTTTTCGTGGATTACGCATCATTCCAGCAGATAATCGGCCTTGTAGAGCAGTACAGAGCTTGATCGACTCAGGCAGAGGATTACTAGAGTCCTACACGCCTCCAAGAGCAAGGCTAGAAAGATTATGTAAAAGTTATACTCTAGTCAGAGCGTGTTGCCTGTATCTTGCCATTGTTTAAGTAAGTGGGCCTTGAGATTGGGCATGGTACGGAATCGAGTCTTGGTCTTGGGGCATTCCAGCTCAGTCTTTAGCATTGATTCATATTCCACTTCTGGTTTCTGTTGGGAACATGAGAATAAAGTCACTTGATCAATATGCGTGCAGATTTGATTTAAGATGAAATTTTAATTATTGAATTGCCTAACTAGTAACTCAGTAGGAGAGACTCCTGATTTGACCTTCTCGATGAGATCTTCGAGGTGTAGGAAAAAGCCAAGGTCGGAACGGAAAGTGTTGAAATGTCGCTTGTTCCTCAAACAATCAGAGACCTATGTCAAATGTACGAAGCAGCCATTATTTTAAGGGTTGATCAGGTCAAGATTGGGGAAGTGAATGTGTGATTCATGACTTACTAGATCTTCAGATATGACATGAAGATGGATATGTCTGATTTTTAACTCATTGTCATCTTTTGATCTTCACTTACTAGTAGTCCTGACTCCTGTCTGGTCGAAAATAAGTATCAATAAAGCTTAACTTACACCATAGATTCATGAGCGTGAAACCCAAGTTGTATAGGCCAAGTGCGACCTTCGCTCTTGTACATTTCTTCCTCTATTGATGCTTTGACATCCTGACTTGCTATTCTTAGCTAAGCGTTCAAGTAGTATTTCAGATCATGTCCTACTTTACCAGTCGACTCAAGATAATCAAGGTGGCATATCTTACAGTTTCAAGAAGATGTAGCACTCCTACCGGTCCTACCGCTTGAAAGAGACTTCTGAGTGAAGTGAGAGATTTGGAAGCGTTTTTGGGTTGATCATCCAGAGGGAGCTTTTGAAAGATATTCAGTCGAGCTGAAATTCAAGACGAGAGGCAGTTAGGATCAATGTCATTGTCGCTGTATTTCATAAGTGCATTAATAATCAAAAAAAATGTACGAAGGACAAGAAAATGATATTTGGCCTATGCATATGAAATATAAGAAAGACAGGATTTAGTGAATGATGTGAATGCTTGTATTCAGAAAAAGTAAAACAAGCCTTTGGAAAGAGATCAAAGATAGTAAGCCTAAACAAAATGCAAAAGAGAGGCGAAATGAGTAGTTTGACGATGAATTTTGATGAAGATCAAAAAGCATCAGCAGATATGGCGAACGTGTTTTCAGTTTCTATTAAACATACTGAGGAATCGAGTTCTTGGGAGGGTGATTCAAGTGCGGCGTAACGTTGTAGGGCTAATCTTGAATTCGTCATCCTGATTCGTGTGGTTTTTGATGAATGGCAAGATTCACATTCCTTGAGGCTTGACCAAGAGCACGCGGATGGGAAGGGAATGTTCTGAATCAGCCGAACCGAATGAGCCTGCGGTCTGCACATTGAAACAGCTCGGGGCACGTGTCGGGCTCGGACTTCAGGATATTGCGGTTTTAGATTTCTCGACAAGTGATTTCAACAAAAAAGTCACCCAATCGATCGGAACCAATTCAGAATGATTGAACTTCAACTATTGCAGGTCATCAGTCTCTCTTCTTTCTCTTGATCAAAACTCTTAAGCTTACTGAAACTTGATACTCAGACTGGTAAAGGAGGAAATCCGGAATCGGTCAAAGCTTCACAACGTAAACGTGGTGGTGAGAAGGCAGCTGAATTAGTAGATGAAGTTTTAAACCTTTACAAGAATTGGACCAAAGGTCAAATATTCCACAAATTTTTAATCCAAAATTGAGATCAAAGGTGTTGATTCTTTTGTATGGTAATTGACTTCCATAGTCGGATTCCAGTTGCGCGAAATAAGGACAGAAGCCAATTCGATCAAGAAGAAAATTGGTGAAGCAAAGAAGGTCAGTGGCTTGAGCCAGGAGCAATTCAATCAATATTCTGTATTTCATCATTTCAACTTCTTTTCTTGGTATCGATTGCCACACCTTGCAGGCCAAAACCGAACCGGGTCCAGAACTATGGGAAGCCAAAGAAAAATTAGATAATGAAATCAAACGTCTTGAAAAAGAAGAATCAGATGCTGAAGTCACATTGAAAGCTCGTGCTGGAAATATTGGAAATATTGTTCATGAGAGTGTACCAGTGAGCATGTCAGAGGTAAATCGAGTGTATTTTCACTTCATTTTCAAAAGTTTTCCGCGTCTGAGATTGACGATTAATTTGGAGAGATGTTTGTTAGGATGATAACACGATTATTAGAACTTGGACACCTACTCCTAACTCACCACCTACCAAAGATCCAGCTTTGCTTTCTCATGATGTAGTGATGAACCGATTGAATATGATTGACCAAGAACGTGGAATCAAGGTTGCTGGTCATCGTGGATTCTTTCTTGTGGAAGATGGTGTTGATTTGAATCAAGCGATGATTAACTATGGACTTGATTTTTTGAGACAACGAAAATATAAAAAGATGATGACACCATTCATGATGCGTAAATCAATGATGGCTAAGACTGCTCAGCTAGAAGAATTTGATGAAGCACTTTATGGGGTAAGTAACTTACATTCGGAAGGGACGAATTTTCATTCCAATTGATTGTTGATCTTGATTTTTTGTACCCGTTCACCTATAAAGCTGACAGGAGATGGTGGAGAGGACGATAAATACTTGATCGCAACCTCTGAACAACCCTTGTCAGCGTTACATGCCGATGAATGGTTTGAAAATCCTAAAGAACAGCTACCATTGAGGTCAGTACCTCAGATTTATGCACTTTGTGTCTATCTTTTCTGCTCAAGACTAAATAAATGAAGATGAGATGAACGGATCTTTGATTTTTTGGTGTTTGCAGATATGCGGGCTATTCTACCTGTTTCCGGAAAGAGGCTGGTTCGCATGGTCGAGATACCTGGGGAATCTTTCGTGTACATCAATTTGAAAAGATTGAACAATTTTGTGTGACAGATCCATCCAGTTCATGGGAGATGTTTGAAGAAATGGTAGCCAGTTCAGAAGCTTTTTATCAATCTCTTGGTTTAAGTTATAGAGTGGTAGGTATTGTAAGTGGAGCATTAAACAATGCTGCTGCTAAGAAGATCGACCTTGAAGCTTGGTTTCCTTCCATGGGTGAATACAAAGAGCTAGTCTCAGTTAGCAATTGTACCGATTATCGTAAGTTTGTTTCTTTCAGAGGTCAATATTGATTGTTTGGGAACTATTTTTTTTAAGAAAACTTTTTCATTTTTTCATGCTTTCAGAATCTCGAAGCTTGGAAGTAAGATGTGGGATCAAGAAACAAGGTGATACACAAAAAGTCTACGTACACATGCTCAATGGAACACTTTGTGCGACAGAACGTGCATTGTGCTGTTTGGTAGAAAACTATCAAACACCTGAAGTAAGCATGTTGATTCTGCACTCTTTTCCTATCTCAAGATACTCTCAGCTTGGATTGGCTTATTGATATTTGTTTGTATTGGTACTAGGGAATGAATATACCCGAAGTCTTACAGCCATATATGCGGAATCGCACCTTTTTACCCTTTGTTAAAGAAGCTCCCAAGAAAAAGAAGTGAAAAGACGTTGAAAGGCTTTGCCGTAAATATGAAATAGTGTAATGAAAGTTACTTGATGGTATCGTGGATGAACAAGTCGCATCAGTAGGCTGGAGTTCCAATTTTGTGCTACTTGAGACTTTCTGTCATTTACAATCTATCTACTGGCCACAGCAGTAAAGTAAGGAGACAGTTAACAGGATAATGAAGCTCATGTTGAGTTTATAGCAAAACGACAAAACTTTGATGCTAATATTCTTGTCAGTTATAATAAAATTTGAGATATTGTGATGGGTCCAAAATACACAGTGCAAATGCTGAATAAATCAGAGATAACAATACGGAAGGTAAGAACAAGCCAGAGTCGTAGTTGAATCAAGCCAATACAACAGGATTTGGGACGACAAGTCTGTCCTTTCGATAGAGCCAAAATTGATAAAGGACGATCAGGTCCAGCTAATGAAGAGGAGGAATTAATTAGCAAAAGGCTATTGGTGTAATGTATGGGTAGGAGACGTACTAGAATAGTTCCAGCACTACCAACGAGCCAGCTCCTGAGAATATTTTAAACAATATTAGTGATATGAAGACAAAAGCAGAGTCAATGGAAGAGTCAAAGAAAAAGACTTACAAGTTGATCCATAAGTGAGACGGGTTCAGACTGAGCAGGAGAATGGACGCAACATAGGTTGTGTTACCGGTGATGCCGACCTGTTCAGAGGAGGAAAAGGGGTCAGCGGCTTAAAATGTTTTGCTCGTAACAATCAATCAAAAAGGGCTCACCAAGAAAAATAGCAGACTTAATCCCTTACACTTTGTTTGACGGTTTTTAAATATTTGAGGAATTCTACTTCCAAGATAAGCTGCTGCACTAAACCAACCTACGATTTGAGCTGTTGTATCCCAAAGTTCAAGAGGACCTTCAACGGGGATCGAGGGATCAGTGGGCCCGGGTCGGCCAACATGACCTTCTGATATCAACCAACCGATCAAACCAATAACACCGATCGCGCTATAAGCAGCGATGTAAGAAACTACATTTGCCATCCATGTTTTCTCGGCTTTAATAGGTGTTGAAGCTTCGACAGGCGTTGACTGTTCGGTATTGAGCAAAGGTTCTGTTTCAGTGGGATTGATTGCTGGATTGAGTGATTTATTGGCTTTTATGATAGCGAGGCGTCGATAGTAAAAGATTTGACAGAGGATTACTACATCACAAATGGTGTAATAAACCGCCAAACCGATCATAGTAGGTAATAAGTTTTGACGCCATGAACCGAAAAGGTTTGCAAGATCACCAGCCATCCAAATCAAAATAAAATAAACTGAAATCCCATCTCCACTTTGATTAACGTAGTTTTCATAAATCTAGTGAGGTCAAAATCAACGAAATAAATGTTAGAATTTTTTAAACTTGAATATTGAAAATGATTTTCAAAAGGGAACGATTTCGAGATGATTTTTTTGCAAGGTATCAATCTGAGACTGCATACTTGTGGCGAGTAAACAAATAGCCTTTGAGTATTCAATTCGATTAGATGACCCCCATGTTCGCGTCCCAGACCAAAACCGTTAAAGGTGAGTCATGGAGGAATATTAAAAAAAAAGAAATTATCAGCTGACCAAGGGAATACTATCGACTGACCAACAAGCAAAGCTAAGCCAACCCATGAGTGAGGCTAGAGATTGATGAATCATCTTAAAGCAATGGGATCGAACGAATTACCCAGACGAAGCTTGATGATGATGAGATTGAGAATGTGATGGATGAGTGATTTGATTTTGAAAAAGCTGATGAGATGGTCACCGAGACTATGAGTAGTCACTAGAGTGTGTTTTGAATTTAAATTTCCAAATTTGGTGGATTTTTAAATTTCTTCACCAAACCAACCGAACCAACTTACATCAAGATCAACTTCAACTATTTATCACAATCAACCTGGATATCAACCGAGATGGCTACCAAACCACCTACTACAAGACTTCTCACTGGTCACGCCGGTCCGTAAGTCAATCAGATTAGCCTACTCACTTAGCATCAATCACACTCACATCTAATCTTGTCATTTCATCAGCGTCTTTACCCTGGGTTGGTCAGTTGATGGAAAGAAGCTGGCCAGTGGATCAAAGGACGAAGGCATTAGGATCTGGAATCCTGAACGAACCGATTGTGGGTGTTTTTTAAACTAGTTCAAATTCAACAACGAAGCTCACCCGCCTGCCTTCTACTCTGATATTATTGGACTACCAGATGGTAAAGCGTCGGCTGAACTCAAAGGTCATACACTTCGGATCAACCGTTCGTGGAATTTGTTTACTCTCGAGTCATTCGTCTAGGAAGATCGTATCACCAATTCTATCATATTGGACTCCTATTCACGCGTCTTCTCAGAGCTACGATGGGACCCTACTCATCCTGAACGACTAGCGAGTGCAGGGGAAGATGGTACACTGAGGTTTTGGGATATCCGACGTTTGTCGATCTCTTCGATACTCTTCAATCAAAAGCTATCCTTTCGAATCATGAACCTCGACATCTTATTTCACATATCTCACAGAGGGTTCCAAACCCACTCGGACGATCGAAAATGACTCTCCAAAAACTTCATTTTTAAATCTTTGTTGGTCACCTGACGCGTCGGTGGTGGCGATTGGCGATTCAAATGATCGACTTCAGTTTTATGAAGCTGCCAGTGGAAAAAAGTTGGGTGAACATTTTGAGTATTCAAAAAGTCCAATGGCAAATGAGGTTAGACTTCTTTGTCTTTTTATGTAGCCATCTGGAAGGAACTTGGAGAATGGATGTAGGGTGACTGATGGTCTAAACACCCTCCGCCTCTCAATCTTGCCATAGGGCCAGAAGAATCAAATTAACGAGCTAGCCTTTGCGTACTCTGGGGAATATCTATTTTTGCCAACGGGGGCAGGTGAGGTGGTGACCTACGGCTTTGAATTTCAAGGGGATTCAGTAAGCTTGAAGGAATATCATCGGTGTACGCCACATGCCGCCGTATTGAATTGTATTGGTATGTTCATTTCTGCAAGCATTTCATAGCTTCTTACTGGCTTATCAGATATCTGACTCTTCTTTCTGGTCTAAATTTGAATTTGAAGATACTGATCCGCGTGGCAGGTCAGCTCTCACCTTCCGCCTGATCCACATCAGCACGTGACTCAATTTCCGTGCTCTTATTAGGTACATTGCCGTCGGCGGAGCAGATTCTATCGTCAGTCTAATAGACGTGGAAGAGTTTTATTGTGTTAATACATTTGCTCATCTTGAGTGAGTGCAGCGTGCTTCAAAAACTTCATTACTGCACAGCTTATTCTATGATTGTCTATCTGTTTAGTTCGGACGTTCGTACCATCAGCTTTTCTTACGATGGCGACTTCATCGCTTTTGCTGGAAAAGATACCTTTATTGATATTGTCAGTTCTAATCTCTCAGACTTTCTCATGGATCAATCTTCAAATCTTGCAAACCTGCTACCCACCTTCTGTATAAATCTACCTACTTGACTCATCACCATGTTTTTGTGGATTTTGTCTTCATAGTCATCGGTAGCATCTGGGGCACAAGTTCGAAGAATTGATAACCTAACTTTTCCCGTCAATACCATTGCGTGGCATCCTTCTAAATATTTCTTGGCATATGCAGGTGATGAGAAAGCTGGGAATGTCAGAGTGGCCAACTTGGCGGTATAAGTCTATTTATAATGATACCTTTAAATGTTGCTTGTAGTACTTGTATGCACACCAGTGCCTATTGCACATGTCCTCCACGTCTCGAGGGCTTGTCTACTGTGTAGTTTTAACTGACAAAAAACCAGTCTTTTCACACCATTCACCTTTGAACAATGTGATTCAAGATAATGACTGCGCTCTCGAGGCTAAATAAACCTGGCCCCTGTTTCACTCGACTTTGTTCACCTTCTCACCTCTGTACATACGTGCTGAATCACACTTAGGAACTTCTTCACAGTGGCCTTAGTTCTGACTTTAAGGCTTTGGTCAGTGCATAGCAAGTTTATCAGAACTGAAAGGGATTTGGGATGATAGAAAGAGATCATTGAAGGGCCTGAGAGTCGTAGGTTGGTACGTGTATTAATCAAGTGGAATAGCGTTACATATTTGAATTTATTACATATTGTATGGTTTCCTTTTTTGTTATTAATTTGACATCATGAGTAGTTTGGAATCATGTAAAAAGCATGACCTGTGCAGTTGTTTAAATCTACAAAACTGACAGGCAATGATTCCCTGTGTCAAAGAAGGCCAAAGAATATGTGGAGGCTTCTCGGTCCGAAATCACCACATACAAAGTGGTCTATAGATCTTTCGCTCTAAAGAAGCCTATTGAATGTGCATATATAGCGTGCTGTGGCAGGGTGAAGGGAGGTCTAGCACTCTTTCAACTTTGGACGCCATTTGCATCCCTTTTGTTCCCCCAATCCTCCAGATTTATAGGACCGGTGCTCCCCTGTGCTCAGTCGCTCGATGAGCTGTATGTACTATGGACTGGCCAGTACAGCTCGTCGAGGGACTTATTACGTTTGGTGCTCGCCGGCAGGTGTCGCCGATTGGATGGCGACGATGTAGCGTGTGAATGGCTTCGGTCGGGAGTTACAGAATCCAGGTCCGTTGCCGCATTCAATCTTGTTGGAAGAAAGGAAAAGCTTATTTCAATTCAAGTGGAACGAAAAGGAACATGGTTGGGGGTGGTCCAAGGAGTGTTATCAAGGGCGTCTCGCGAACCAGCTCCTGTCCCACGATCGCTTCATAGAAGTGGCCCAGAGAGGATATAAGTATAAACAGATGGACTTGTGAATCGCGACAGGAATCTCATTTTCGCACTGCACAAAGTCTTCCTCTCGCACTTCTTGATCCTCTACAGCCTTTCAAATTATCTATCATGGATGGCAGCCAGCGTACCCTTCGCAGACGAAGTTTTCGACTTCCAACAATAATCATTAATTGTATCGCCGAATTCATTGGCGTTTTTCTCTATGTCCTTCCTGGCGAAGCCGCAACAGCTGGTAAGCCTTCAAATAGCAAACCACGACTACATCAACGTAACTGACTTCTCTCCTTTGCGTAGCGTACCTTTTGGGTTCTGCGAGTAACAAAGTCGGCTTGGGAAGCTTATTGAATGTGAGTCATCTGCACTGCTCAACTGGTTACCTTTCATCATCGGGGATCTTCTTTCGCATTGTTACATTTCGGCCTCAATCTGACGATACTTTTTTGATTCTCTATAGATCGGTCTCGCTTATAGGCATGTCGAAATAAACCATTTTGATCTTCCTAGTCTGACACCAACCAACGTCGTCTATCAATTTTTAATCGACGTAGCTGCGGCATTGTTCTTGCCATCACTCTCACGCATGCGTCAGGCGCACATTTGAGTCCCGGAGTGACTCTCACCTTCGTGAGCCACAAAATCAAACTCTATCATCATTATATTTGCGATTACTCGGAACTGACCAGACTTGAACACGTGTAGGTTCTCATGAAGGGATTTCCTCTGTGGAAAGTGATCCCTCACATCTTGTCTCAGATGCTCGGTGCGATTGCCGCAACACTATGTATTTATGGAGTTTATGGACAGTCGTTCCACGCCATCGAGCTTGGAATGGAGCTGGCCGGTAAGAAAAGCCTGATCATTTCGCCTTTAGGTCCGGCAGGAGTGGGAGCGATCTTACCCGGCGCTTCACAAAACCTTGGACAGTGAGTATGTTCTTTAGCTCGTGGATCGGCCAGTATTCCTGAGATTATCTCTTCGAAATATGTAGGGTATTCTTTGGTGAATTGCTAGTCGGGATCATACTGGGCTTGATCATCTTTGGAGCTCTCGATGCACATAATCCGTTCTTGAGTCGCTCCAGCATTCCGTTTTTGATGTTTGTGGCAAAAGGCTTTCTTTGAAAATTCTTGAGACAAAAACAACTGATTTGAGATCGTATATATACAGTTCCATGGCTTACTTCATCGCTATCATTGGCTTCGCACCCAACACCATCGTCCTCAACACAGCGAGAGGATTGGGAGGGTAAGTGTGGTCATTCTTGAATGTCGAGCAATCCAATTGATGATACCCTCTCCTAACCTCTGAACGCGACAGACAAATCGCCACTAGTATGATCTATGGTGGAAAGGTGTTTGGGAATTCATCTTTCATAGCCTTGGCCACACTGACAAATATTCCAGCAACTATGGTGAGACCCAATTTGACCATCCAGTTTTTCAATTGTGAACTGAAACTTTAATTACAGTTAGGAGGCCTTTTATATAAATTTGTTCTCGAGAATCAAGATTCAGCTTCTGTAACAACTTCCACCAATTCTAAAAAAATTCAATCCACTCAAGAACAGGTCTAATTCAGCAATTTCCATTTCTGAGATTTCCCAAGAGCGCAAAATAAATCATAATTCATTTTTAGCAATCTTTTGTAATTAGTCCTTGGCACACTTTCTGTTGTTTCTGGATGTCTCACATTCTTCATCTTGCAACAGATTCCATTACCCACAAGTTTGTGAAGATATGCTCTGAAAAATATCAAAATGACAGAACACAGTCTCAATTATACTACACAAAGTTCTTCTGGAACTTTTCCACGAAGGTTCCAGAACAGATTTTCTACAAAGCCAGGAAGGCAGAATACGTTCTGGCTTTCTGGACTTCAATCAAATTCCACATCCCCACTCTAACTCCCACATCCACCATCACAAAATGACCGACGAGACCCCCTCTTCAAGAACTCCACCAATGACTCCACACGAAATACCACCACCAATCTTGACCCCTCCTACTTTCCAACGCTTGATCCGAGAGGCCGTCAGTTAAAATATCAACTATCAATGTTGTTCAAGTTCTAATTTTTGACTCAGAAACCAATTCAGACCGATATCGATCTCGTTCAAGATCCAACATTCTATTTCAATCTTTGTTTGTATGTATTATCAAATAAAACTTCATCCTATTAAGCTTGGCAATCTCATTTGAATCAATGTCAGTCAACGGATTAAAATCAATATTGTTCAGAATCAATCAGGCTCCTCCAAATCCTAATGAGATCCGATTCCATTTCTATAAATAATAGAGAAGTAAAAGGTCAGAATTTAATTATATTGTTTTTTTAGCAGATGGAAAGCTTAGGAGAACACTGACTGAATCGAGACCACAGTTGGAGATTTTCCTTTGGGTTTATCACTCGGAGAGGTACCACAGAATGGTACCAAAAAAGGTGCCAAGACGGTCCTAGTGGGCTGTTGGGATCAAAGAGATTGAATCAGATGACGGCCATTGGTGATGATGATAAACGTCAAGATATCTGAACTTACTAAAAGGTCAGGAAGACATTTAAAAGTACAAATGATCAATTGATAATTACAATTGGTAGCATCTTCAGCTTTACGAAGTACTCGATAAGGTTTCCAATTTGGGATCACACCAAATTTTTGGGATCAAATGGTAAGACCGTGTTGTTGGATTGAATCATATGCTGAACAAGTAATTGGAGTAACTTGACATCTTTTAGATTGTTCGAGAACATACCAGGGATGATGGATCCAATGAAACTTAAGGCCACAAACTCAACTAAAGGGACTTAGTTAAGTTTGTTAAGGCCGTGTTTCTTCAGAGGTTGACCCACTGCCTCTTGCTTCATTGACCCATAGAAATCACTTACTTGTCTCAGGACCCCGGTATGCTCCTATGAAGGGTACAGATCTAGAATTGTGACTTTTGAGCTCGCGCGGAGATACGACATATGGGATTAAACAGCGCTCTCTTGGATTTTACCGGTTTCTGCCTGAATTTCAGAGTCGCTAAGTCCAATACAGCTGATCAAAAAGACTAAACCTGTCTTAAAGCTATGGGTAAAGCCAGGGACAAGTTTCCGAGCGAGCTCAAAAGTCACATTTTTGGATCTGTACCCCTTATAAGAGCATACCGGGGTCCTCTTGTCTCATCATTACACCACTTCAATCAGTTTTGGTCTCCGGACTAAGAATCAGCTTGAAGACCAACCAAGGAACTCACCATCACCTTGAAGGTCAGTCAATTGATCTCTTTACTCATGCTTTGAACAAGTTTGAAGTCAAACATTTGATCCTAACTACACTCTCACTGGTGATTTTTAGTTTGTGGCAAGGCATCTCATCCTTGGCCCCTGGATATTTTACATTTTCGTTCATTGAAGTTCATTGAGGTTCATTTCATTGATAGTTTCTTGTTCATGATTTGGAAACAGGACTAGAGAATCGTACATTAACCTGATTCCGTTCTTTTCAAGTTCTGCATACATAGAGGGTCATATTGTTTGAACGACATATATCGACTTATGTTACCGTGGTCAAACCTTGAGTAGAACATACAGTCTCTTCATTGCCGTTGAGATTCAACCCTTCAATTTGTCTTCTTTCACTTACTCCTATCATCAACATCATCATCAACAACATTGTCATTCTGTGTGGCATATTGGTTGTCACATCACCTAACTTTCAACTCGGACCCTTCAATTCCTATTCAATCAGTCAAATTTCTTTCACAATCAATCCATCAAGTTCAATCTTGAACTATCAATCTCAAGAGATAACCTTACCTTTCCTGTGAACCAATCTGTCAGCCAAGTCGAATTTGGAACGATTGATCCCAAGAGCCGTTTATCTTTCTTACAAGCCATTGTATTGGTTGAGTCCCATTCTAAACATCAATCCCAAAAGTCACCCTTCATCTTTCTTCCAAATTCTATTTGTCAAGTCGTACTCTGAACAATCGATCGCAAGAGTCACCCTTCATCTCTTTCACAGATCAATCTATTGGTTGAGTCCTCTTCTGAACAATCGATCTATTCCAAGAGTCACTCAAATCCTTTATCTTTACTTGATCTTCATATTCAAACTCTTGATTGCTGTTATTTCAACGACTTCAATTTCGAATCATCTTCATCTCTTCCTGTTCATCCATCAAGACTGTCAAAAACCGTAAGCTCATTCAAAAATATATGCAATAGTTAACCCTTCCCCAGAAGTGTTTGGCAGGATGTAACATCCATTCAATCTCCCGCGTTGGAAGTGTTGAACAAGTGCTACATTCCCTCAATCTCACAACTGTTGTTGTGGGCGTAACCTAGGGATACTTTACTTTGTTCAACACTTCTTTCAAAAAATATTAAATGCATGTTGCATTCTTTCATGCATGGCCTCTTGCCACACTCTTCAAAACTATTGGACCTTTCATGAAAACCTGGTTATCTCCTCAATCATGTTTATATAACTATGGTTCCGCTGCACGCGATAGTTATATAGATGGGGTTTTGCTAGATGCCAGGTTTTCTTGGGAGGGCTTGAGGGTTTTGAAGGATGAAGCTTTGTTTTGTGATTGTCTGACCACCTTTGACTGATTGAGGTTCTTTTGCTTGATAGGTGATTTCCATATGACCAAGCAAAAACCCAAATACCGGGCCAAATCAACCCAGCTTAAGCGTTCAAAGGATCATAAGGATCAATTGATTGTTAAGAATTCGGAGAAAAAAAACAAACTCCACAATCCACCACCTGAGCCTCCGACTGTTGCGAGTGCTACACAATCAAGACTAGCAACCGGGCTTGTAAGCGCAAAGCATTCAAAGAGAAAGTCAAGAAGAAGTTTGGTCTACCTCCCAATGTCACTTTTATTCATCGAGCCAACCATGGTAAAAATTCACTCCTCACTTTAAAAACCGGAACTGCTGCGATCCTCAATCAGAACGGCACTAAATTGATTGCAGTAATCTGCTTCAACACTTGACAATATATTCAATCCAAAGGTAAAAAAGTACAAACTGAAGATAGTGAGCGATTGTTCAAACAGTTTGGACAATCTGTTTCAACCCTATATAACCATGGAATAGCCAGAAACCGAATCACAACCAATGGACCAACAGTTGCACCTGGGAAAAGAAAACAAGGGGATATGTTTGCAATTGGGATGAGAGCTGGATATCGGAAGGGCGTCTTTGGAGGTCAGTATCTCTGTATGTTTATTTTGTTTCCATCTGACAATTTGAGAAATGTTTAGGTCCTTATGCAATCAGTCACCAGACTGCTCTTTTGATCCATTCCATGGAAAAGGACCTCAGACGACAACAGAACCTGCCGTACATACAAAATTTCCTGGCCGGCCAGTTTTCTTCTCTTTCCCTTGAAGCTTATCAATCCAATTACAAAATTGGTGCTAAGCTCGGCCTCTCATGGGCATCAAATCGATCTTTCAACTCACCCAACGGACAAGCCTTTGGTGGAAACTTTGTAATGACTCGTGATGAATGGTATAACAAGGCTCATAAAGATTGTGATGCTACAGGTTATTCATATGGATTGTTTGGCTTGATTAAACGTGGGACTGGAAAGCTTTACAGGTGTGGTAGCAAATCAAGACATGGATATGTAAAGGAAGGTCATTTCTCTTTCCCGGAATATAATATTCAAGTCAGCTTTGAAGATTGTGATGGAGTGGTGGAGATGGTCTGGGCGATGGATGTGGAACACCAGACAACTGAATCAACCACTCATGGTGCAAACGGTGACCGTGTTAAACCTCGACAATCCAAAATCACCCAATTTGGTTCATTGTGTCAAGTTTCAAAGTTGATTGTTCAACGCATTAATTTGATTCTTAATAAAAGAAGTGCTATGAATGAGGAAGAATGGGTGGAATACCGTGAATCAAAAGTAGAAAATTATGCTGACAAGATTAAACGTAAATGTCAAACACACAAGAAACTTAGAATCTAATAATCAGTGGATTTAGGGAAGCAATCCTGTACCTACTCTGATGTTTGTAGAGTGAAAAGTTATCAAATTCTCAACCGTGATTCTCTTCATGTACCCCTTGTGTCTTGTAACTTGTGGACATGTCTGCAACACTCTGAGAAACGTAAAATTGTCAGTTCAAGTACATTACACTACAATATGAGGTTAAAGAGCGCACCATGCTTCAAAGGCTGACCAAGGAAATGGTTGGCTGTGATATGGAAAAAGTCCCTGGCAAATTATGTCGCGCAGCACAGTGACCAAACAAGTTTTGGACACCAATAGTCTTTAGTGAAAGACGAATATTGTACTTGAGTGCTACATTCAGATGGGGTAGCAACCAATAAGGGCTGCAGTTCTCATCAATCGGGTCCAGTTTGCGAAAAACACGGAGAACAAAGACTGGGGTTGAAATGGTTTCATGCCGTACTATGTGCTGAATTACTCCATGTCCTTTTTGCCCTGAAATATCAAACTCTACATAGCTGTTCCCCGCATGTTCAGCATAAGTGCTGAATGTTTTTCCACTATGTCGCCAACTCCTGGTCATATCAAGCTTTCCTCAAACTTAACTAAGTCCAATCGTGCCTCGGATTTTTTAACAACAAGTCGTTTCCGAGGCACGAGGGACTTGGGCAATACGTTGGTTTTTTGGCACAGTAGGTTTTGGAATTTAGTAGAGCAAAAATCAAATTTGCTCTACACTCACCCACAGCCCATGCCCCATTCCCAAAGTTGGACCATATAGTCTTGTGCTTCTTCTGAAGAGAACTGTCTCTTCAGAATACTGGAAAAAAAATCAGGAAAGAAGTTCTCATTGAGACAAAAACATTGTCTTCAAAAATTGATCTGCTGCGAGAAATTACAGTGAGCTTTGTATGTAACTCGAATGTCAATCAGCGATAGTCGATGAGAGAATGAGACATTGAGTCCTCAATGAAAACTTTTGGTGCAATTGGATAAAGATATGGGTCTGAATGTAAAATCAACAGACAGTGTATCCCTTCATCTTTCTATCCACCTCATTTGTGTTTGATCGTAACCAGAATTGTCAAAAATGGAAGAAAACAAGAAAATCGTATCGAAACTTCCACCAATGGAAGAGCGATTGATCAAGATCTGTAAACTTATTGGTGAAATGGATATGAGTCCAAAAACGTTCATTCAGAACTTCCTCACCAGCACCGACATAGTTATCAAGGAGCGACGAGGGAAGTGGGGAACTAAAAAAGGCTGGAATGGGACAAAGCTTCTGATGACAACAATAGGAGAGCTTGTTAAGAGCGATGAAGAGGATGGACTCACAAGATGGTCAAAAGAGTTCATTTTAGAAGAGGTAAGATAGGAAGTGACTTCTATAAAACTCAGCATTGAACCTAAAGAGCTTATGTAGTACTGTTCCATTCGAATCATTCATTTTCTTCCCTGTTTTCAAAGGCAAAAGAAATCGTGAATCAGGAAGATCCTCCAAGTGGCGAACCTCCCAATGGAATGTACTATCACTCAAAGAATGTAGCACAAGATTACTTCAATGACAGTGCCGAGAAAGAACAAATGTGTGAAATTGCATCAAGCATGTGTTTTATGCATAGCTTGATCAAATTAAAGCTGGAGTATGCAACAAAGATGCGTGATAACCAAAGTACTGCTAGGACAGAAAAAAAGGAAAACCAAGAACATCAAGAAGTTGAGCATCTTGAAGGCAACATTGATGGTGATGAACTCCTGAGAAGATCTCCTAATGCGCTGCCAAGAATTGAGGAATATTGATTGAAAAAGGTTAGTTGTTGTCAAAGATAATCTCAAGTCAGATTTTGGAATATCATGAGCTAATATCATGATTTCAATCAAAATCTTTTGCACAGCTACCAGCAATAGTATGCTCAATGATCAGTTTTGCTTGTAATAGGAGACATTCAGCAATGCAACTTCAAAATTCATTGACTTTTTTAGCGTGTGGTGTTACAGAAAAAATGAGTAATTATTTACACTTCTTAGGCTTGACACTATCTCAAAAGGTAGCAAATGAAGCAATGGATACCCTGAAAGAAGAAACCAAAAAGAAAATTTAATCCGTTTCTGCTAGATCATACAAAATCAGACCACTGTTATGTATAGATAATATAGATATACAATCATCAGTTCATGATGGTAATGTAGACTCAACAAAGAAGACTTTACACAGAACTTGGGGATACTTACATGTAGTGCCTGAGCATTTAAGCAACAATATCACTCCGGAAGATGTTAGTCTTGAAACTTTTTATGATGCAATGGAGCAAAGCAAGTCTAACCCGGTCAATTTACATGATCTCTTACCTACAAATCAGGAAGAAATACACTTTAAATTAGCAAGGAAATCTCAATTGGTAAATACATTACTTGAACTAGTATTAAATAAAAATTCCTCAGCTTATAATTATTGCAAAACACATCTTGAATTAGTACCACCTTCTGTTGATCCTATTGAAATGTACAAACCTGAAATTTATATGCTCAAATTAATGACAGCTTCAGAAAACTCAGCAACTGGAGTCGGACAAGTCCTTGAACACCTGATCAAACAGCTCGGATTGAAGCCAGAAGATTTTGCTGCACACTTTCAACAGGTTGAAGGTGATCTAGGTACTGTTCGCAACTTTGACTCAGCGGCTAAAAAGAGATTTCCAGCTGGACATCCCAAAGAAAGTCTACAGAATCTTATGTGTTGTTTAGCCGGATCACATACTATGTGGAATTTTACAAGTGCAATCGCCGATGTTTATCTCGCTGGAGTTCATCGAATGGCTGCAAGCTTAGGAATTCAATCTGAAAAGCTTTTTGATAAGAAAGATTTTGGACTCTTGATGACCGCAGTTCACAGGATCCATTCTGCAACACTTGCTTTCTTACTCAAGTTTGTTCTTCTTCTGTTTATTTTAATCAAATTTCGAGTTGTATCTTCAATCTGATCAAGTCATTTGTGATTGTAGGGAATTCATATCTTCCAAGGGTCCTGGATTTGATCTTAGCAAGCCAGGTGTTGCTCAAGGTTTGATTGATGAAGTATATGAGAAATATTTTACTGGCGATTCCATTCGAGATGCTGAGAAGGCCGAGGACAACACCCTCTACAACCTACGATTGAGATTACGCGACTTTTCAACAGTTGTTGAAGCAGATCAGGCTATGCAAGCCGGTGATATAGGATGTGTCATGTCAATGTGGAAGAGATGGGCAATCATGGCACAAGGAATCAAGAAACTGACTTCATATGCAATTCATCTGCCTAGATACATACTGGTTTTAGAAAAATATCTACCAAAGAAGTTTGCTAAAGTTATAAAGCATTGTTTATTGATTCCTTCGGCTGGCCGAGAGGGTCACTGGGTTACTAAGGACTTTTACCTTGAGATCCAGAATTTCTGGATTAAATACTTTTACAATCGCTCAGTAAGGATTCATCTTTATCTCAAGCTTTGACAACTAAACAAGTGCACAACTGACTTGTCTCTTGAAAAATAACCAGGGAAGAGGAACTGATCTTGACAAACTGGTTGAACAATTCTCTCTTAATGTGCCATTAGTAAGAGCTCTTCAAATCAACCATTGGATTTACAAAACATATGCCATGAACTGATGACTCTGATTAATGTAGTTGCAACACTTGATCCATCAACTCTGTCTACAATTGGGTCTTGAGCACGTTTACCAAAATAATACACACCCAATAAGCCCAGAATCCCTTACACGATTCATGCACATGGCTCGTGATCACCTCGCCGACCCCAAACTCATCAAAACTGAACGTGACACCTTGATTCTGGCCCCATTGGATGATATTCATGCTGATGGGATTGTGAAATCCAAGTCAATGATACAGAAAGAAGATTGGGAACACAAGCCATGTCGATTTGCCTGGGGGTCTTTATTGGGCTTAACTATAGCGTGAAATGCTCAATGACTACAAGTTTTATGTATGGCAGCAGTGAATTTTCAAATACTAGTAAATTGATGTGAAAGAATGACTTGCCTCTATGACCAGAGTTACAATGAGTCTTCTCCTTGTAATTTAAGTCGTAATTTATTCCTCTTCTCTTCTTCTTCCTGTTGTCTACGAGCCTCATTTTCCAAGCACTTTTGAATTCGTAATGCAGCCTTTTTTTTCTTTTCTTCAGCCAAAGCTTCTTTGATTTTCATTTTCTCTTTGTATTCATGCCAAATCCGAGTCCCTCCTTCCCGAGCTGCCAAATCTTTTGCTTCATCTCTTTCTTTTTTTTCAATATGAGCCCGATAACTTTCTGATGTTTTCCATAGTTCAATAGTCTGTATAATCAATTCAAAAGTTCCTGGCAGAGGCTCACTTCCCAAGATTCCGCGGAGATGTTGGCCTAGAAGAACAGTTTCATAATTTTTAACTACTATCCAGAGTTCTTCATAGTTGAAAAGCTGGATTGGATCGAAATCGGACCCGTCCGGATAGTAATTGTGAAAGAGCTTATGGAAGGCTTCTGTTAGATCTGCGGCTAGTGCTATCATTGGTGCAGAGCTGTAGATTTCGTCGTCGTCGCTGCACAGAATTGGTCTTCCTGAAATGGACTTCGGAGGTGGTGGTAACATCCGCAGAGCATTCAGGAAGCTTTTTTCAGGAAGTTCCATTGGGACTGTCAAGCGGTTTATAATCCCCTGGAATTTGATGCGATCGGTAGTTTTAAGAGCATCAATGAGCTGGATTGCGCCAACAGGACCGCAGGATGAACATTGACAAGGCTTCATTTCAGCAGCGGCTTGTCGATTCTTCTCCTTGATGTAGTTTGCATCATCAACTGATAGAGGAATCTTGCCGTACCTGAGATTTTAACAGAATCAGAAAATGATAAACCTAATTGGAATTCAAGTGAAGTAAAAGGAAACATCCAAAGTATCACAATTCAACGCCACATGGAGGCAGACTGGAGTGACTCAAAAGGCGTGCATCCGGTCATCATCATTCATATCAGCATCTCTTGAAAATTCTTCAACAGAGTTCTGTCCAATTGATCGGTGAGGTTCAACAAGAAAAATGGCCACACTATCCTTCCCACCCCTCCCACCTCTTCCTGCCATCTGAATCATAACATCCGGATCCATAGCGCCCATGATAATTACACTTTCTACCTCATGCCAGTCTTGACCTAACCCCAGGGCTGTTGTTGCAGAAATGATGCAAAACTTTCCTTGACCATACTCAGCAGCTCGAGTGAGCTTATCTTTAGGACCTGTAGCAGCATGATAAGTACGGCAACACGAGCTGTTTCCATCATTTGCACTGTTTGGATTTCCTCTAGCAATATGAACTTGCTGGGAGACAACAAGAGTGGAGTCTTGCTGGCCGGAGTAGATGATAGTTGAAGGAAGTTTTTCATCCGAAACTACAGACTGATGTGGAATCAGCTGGACTAGATCCTTGGCTGTGTCCAATGGTCGAGTAAGATACATGCGGATAAATTGTATTTCTGGTCAAACTAGCTCGGCTCGGATGAGAACACGGTTTTGTGGTACAAGGTGGAGGCTATTCCAAATTCTCTCAATAGCAATCGGACGACAGGTGGCTGACAGTAGAAGCACTGGTACTTTATCTGTAGCTGTAAGGGCTTGACCAAGATCACCGTAAGACAGTCTGAATTCACATACATCGGCGAGTTGCTTATGACTTTGAAGTCCTTTTGTATGTCCGCTAGCAACAAGACCCCACGAATAGATGACATGAGCTTCATCAACAACCTTCAGGATAAGGTGTTTTTGAGAATCTGTACTATAATAAAACTTCTGAAACTTTTTACTATTCAGGAACATTTCAGGACTCTATATGGAATTGCACTATTCTGTTGATTAGAAATCTGATTGATGATGATCAAGATGATAAGTATGCAAGATATGTACCAGGAAAATCGCTCGATAGAAGTGAATCTTTAGTTGCTTCCATACATCTGCATCGGTTGCTGAAACCTTGGTCAGGTTTATTCCTGTTATTCCTGGCAGGAGTTCTAGCACCTAAGTCCATCAACAAAATACATACATAGCGATCAGGAATATTGATCAGCTTGACATTGAAGGAACTATTAAAAAACACCAACCTGATTATCGCCTAAAGCATCCAGAGGGTTTATAACAACCAGGACTGGGAGTGTTTCCGGTGGAAACAGAAGCAAGTAGGCAAGTGCGATTCTTGACTTTCCAAAGCCAGTACCTGCCAGGAGCATTGTATTGAACCCATTGATAACGCTGACAATGGTTTCTGCTTGAACCTCCTTTGCAGTTTTCTGAAAGTGGCGTTTGAAATCGCTCTTTGCAGTCTTCTTTTGATATGACAAAGAACCTTTCACCAAACTTGCAGGCAACAGCGGCCGAGTAATTTTCAAAGGATCGTTCTTGTCATCTACTATGGAAGGTAGGGACAGCTCTCGGTTCTTGTTTTGTAATTTTTGATCCATGACTCAAGATGACTCTTGGTGTGGGTAATCAAGCTTTTGTTTTGGAAAGTTGTTTGAATCGAGAACAATGAAAGTTTCAGATCAGAAGGGATCAAGAAAGCTCAATGATGAACAAATGAGATGGTGAAGTTTTTTCTTTTCCAAAGACAGGAAACAGTACGTTTCTCACAAATTAATGTACTTTCATCAACCACCAACCTTGATATCATATCAAGATTTGACGTCTCTTTTACTCTGACAGTCTTCTCTGCGACTTAAACTATGATGTCTGATCTTATATCAACTCCTTATGTTCAACAACATCATCCTTTCTTTAGTTCAGCATTTCTTTTAGATACAAGGAAGCTTTTCATGTCTTGGTGTTCCTACATTACCTCCATCATCCTTGTATGTTGCATTTCAAGATGTAGACTATCCTCAGCAAAAGCGATGCTTTCCATTGGCAAAGAGGGATATTGAGAAAAAAATCAGCAAATTGAAATTTGGGACTACATACGGATCTCTGTAATCCGCAGCCGATTCTCAAAATCCCTGAAGACAATGTTTTTGTCTCAATAAGAACTTCTTTCCTGATTTTTTTTCCAGGATTCTGAAGAGACAGTTCTTTTCAGAAGAAGCACAAGACTATATGGTCCAACTTTGGGAATGGGGCATGGGCTGTGGGTGAGTGTAGAGCAAATTCAATTTTTGCTCTACTAAGTTCCAAAACCTACCGTGCCAAAAAACCAACGTATCCCCCAAGTCCCTTGTGCCTTGGGAACAACTTGTCGTTAAAAAATCCGAGGCACAATGTGACTTAGTTAAGTTTGAGCTTTCCTGAAGTTATCAAACCCATCTCGTGTAAATACTGCTGAATCGATGTGTACACATCCGAAGATGGCAAAAAGTGTGTCCATTTAGATGATGAGGTTTGTGTGATTATATCTGCACCAATTTTGGCTGCGTATTCCAATGGCGCATTCCTCAAAAAATTGAGGAAATTTGCTTGGTGCGTGTAATGCTTGATCATGGTCTGCCCGACAATACCTAAAAAGGGAAAAATGAAAATTAAGTCTGAATGTAATGGATCAAAAAATAGAAAGTTTGACTTATGACACACCACAATCTCCACTTTTGGGAGTGGCTACCATGGATCCTATTATGCGCTCACCAGCCCAACAGGCAGTGTATGATGGTGGTCCCAGGAGACAAGTTTGAGCTGAAAGGTGCTGCGCAAAATGCAGGTTAGGCCTGGATTTTATTGAAGGCCAGTATTCTAAGAGATGACGTCGATATTGCACAAGTAATGTATCAAGTGTGTTCAATTGGGCAGTCTTAATGGTTCTGGAGACACTAATATTGATTATCTGTGTAGCCAGTGTGATAGCTGTATGTATTTTTGAAGCATCTGAATGCGCTTTGGGGGTGTGATGATATGGCACAATTGATAGCACCATGTATACTGTGTATAGAATGAGCCACTCTGAGGCTTTAGGGGTACCGCATATTGTCATTCCAATCTTGTCTGTAACACGGGTAATCCAAGATGGAACAATAGTCTTTGATATACACTTGTGAACCTCTTCAAGCTCTTTGATGGTCATGCAAGGACCGGGGGCTGATCGTAATGTTCCATCAGAATCTTCATCTTGAATGGATTGATGGTCATTGCAATTGAAATCACTTTCTGTAACTGACTTGGACTTGGAAGAAAGGTCATACTGTGAGCGTGTGGATGGTCTTTCCAAAGAAAAGTCAAAATCATGTCCACTTGAAATAGCAGATTGTACGCTCATTGGAACATTGCAAACTTGCCCAAGGGTGGAATCATTAGTGAAGTTTTCATAATGGCCGTTTGCAATCTGTGAATCTTGTTGCTTCTTCAGGCCCTTGCCTGCAAAGGTGATTTGAATGTAAGTATTTGAAAGGTCTCCTAGCAGGCCCAAAACCAGGCAATGCATAATGTCAACCGTAGCAAATTCAAGGGGCTGCCAATATGGTAGTTTGCAAAAAGTTGAATGACGGGCACCGTTTTGCTTCATGAGCTTTTCCTGATCTTTGGGGGTTGCTGCATCTTTCCATTTCTGTGCCTGTCTCTTGTGGGTAAGATCTGTACGGGGTCTGTAACACTTGTGGTCCGCATAACCAAGAATCCAATGGAATGTAACATTTGGAACACCAGTTTGTTGAATTATGTGACAAAAAACCTGAGATTTTTTTCATTGCTGGAACATTGGCAAGAAGAAAACATACGGCAACAGTGATGACTCTCCCTTTGGGGTGATTGGCCGTTGAACTAAGAAAAAAGCCATTCCATAGGTCCTTCAGCTCTGAGATCAGAGGCTGTAATATCAAATCCATCTCCGGGCTCTTGGGTTCTCGTCGACTAGGTGTAATTCCATACAGGAACATATTCTCAGCTCGGTATTGAATGTCGGGGGTAGATTGAAACAGATTAGCAGCATTACTCCAGCTGAATGTTGGCGTGCTCTTTTTGCTCCATATGGGTCAAACCAATCACGATAGAATCCAAAAACAAGATTGCCAGACTTGCACATAAATACTTGCCCATGTTTTTTGAATGATTTTCAAAGGGTTCCATCCCAAACATCTTGCAAAGTCCCTTTAGGCGGATTGGTTCGGTGTAGTGAGCTGTCAAGCAAGGTCTCAAAGGAAGGAGAATGTAGAATTCTAGCTAGCCACTCAACAAAGCTTTGATGATAAAAGCGTTGAGCTGGGCGTACTTGGGTAGAGTTTTTGCATTCTGGTTTGTAAAGTTGAGCACCACAAATAAATTTACGTTCAGAAGGGTTTGATGCAGAAAACCTAAGATTGTCACATTTTGTCTTTGTAGGCGTCTGTTCCGCTGGTCCATGTAGGCAGAAACAAACTTTGCAAGATAAAGTTTGAATGACCTGCGCATCTAAATGGAAAATTTTCAAAAGCTTGGGAATGGATAGAGGGATTTCATTCCAGACAGGTGTGATTTCCGGCTGGTTCAAAGTGAGGGATGTCTTCACTTTGAGGCGCTCCATTTTGAGTGCGGTCCGAACAGCCAGCAATGATCCACCATGTACCAGGTATTGATTCAACACCTGTATCATAGATTGAACACATGATGGGTGCTGAAGTAGTCTGCGGGGTGTATAAAACGCTTTTGTAGCAAATCGTAGTATTCGTGATCCTGCAGACATGATGCGTGGATTA